CATGAATGTCCCATTCGAACAAAATGGGCAAAGCAACCAATGTTGTGCTATGAGTGCCATGCAGTGTGCCTGTGTGTTTATGTGCATATGTGCTTAAGTTGTCACGACTCGAACGCACCTGTAGGTCTTCAACGTTGGTTATACACCTGTGCATAAGGCAGTTGTCGAAGAGTGTTTTTTTTCGTTGTAGATTAAATCCTACACCAGGAATCCTAAAACTTCTCAACCTCGAGGAACGCCTGTCTACTTCTAATGACGATTAAAAGGCCCCTGTCCTCTTTACCATTCTTACATTTAAAGAGACACTAACACCCCCCAAAGTATTTTACAGTGGAGCTGTTAAGGGCTAGTTTCCCGAGGATCGTGTCCCCTGCAAAGAAATATCGACACAAAACTCTGGACAGCTACCGCCATCTATGAGCGACGGTGGCAACCAGACAACCGGCTTGCTGGCCTCGCTCATAGATGGCGGCAACCTTTCCAGCCTCTCCACTCTGGTTTTCACCAGAGTGGAAAGGCTGAATTTCTCTAGGCGTCGTCCTAGATGTTGTCCTCGAGGTCGTCCTCGAGCTAGTCCTAGACGTTGTCCTTGAGGTCGTCCTTGGGGTTGTCCAAGGAGTTGTCCTTGAGGTCGTCCTGGAAGTCATCCTTGAGATTGTCCTAGAGGTCAACCTAGAAGTCGTCCTTGAGGTCGTCCTATATCTCGTCCTCTAGGCGTAGTCCTTGAGGTCGTCCAAGAAGTCGTGCTTGAGGTCATCTCCTGCTGTACTATGATGCACTAGCCTTCCCATTCACCAGAATGGGAAGACTAAAAGTTTTTAGAGCGCAGCTCTTAGGCGCCCGTTTCCGGCTTGAGCGCCGTCGCCGTCGGCGTAACCGTGAAGTCACATGACCCCCCCCCCCCGAGGTCACGTCCCTGAGGTCACGTGCCTTGAGGTCACGTGATTCCCTGGGGCCATGTGACCTCCTGGGGCCACGTAGCCCCCTGAAGTCACGTGAACCCCCCCCCCCTTGAAGTCACGCGACCCTCCTCTCCCCCCCCCCCGACGTCACGTGACCCCCCTGACGTTATACGACCCCCCTTGAGGTCACCTGACCTCAAAGAGTCGCCTATCCCTCAGTGCCCTTCCATCCTCCTCCTCAAGAGCTGCGGTCTAATCCGGCGTTACAGGGAATTGCAAACGGCTTTCATTTTTTTTTTGCCAGGCGATTTAGTATGGTGTCAGAAGGCTACCGAATCAATATTTTGCTACATCACATCTGTTATTAACAAAGCAAAAAAGTGCAACTGTTCGAAACCGGACTAGAGAGGAAGAGGAGTTGTAGAGTAGGAGAGATTTGCCGGAAGTCATGTGGCTATGTCCGACCATGTTTTTTTTTTCTTTTTTCCTCGTCTTTTTTTGGTTGTGCGAAGCGTACGAAAAACTTCCGCGTCGCACAAAAAGCGCAAGTCAAGCAAATCGTGCTTGACGTTTGCACGATTTTCAACCTCTTACCAATTCGTGTCCGTAAGACGAGCGATGTCTTCGGCTAGGAGAAGGGGCAATGACTCTGCGACGTATTCGTGCGAATCAGCTTGGTGGTCGGGCGTGTCACCACGAAATAAATCATAATCGTTTCGATCGGTAAAAGACTTCTTTTTCGAAGCTAGACAGATTCACCGGTACCCGAAACGACAGTTCTGAAGTAGAGGTCCCACACCCGTCGTCCGCCGCCATCGCTTAGTCTGCTTCGTCTCCAGCCTGCAACCCCCACGATATGACGCCATGTTGAGAATTACGCAGAGAATGCACAAGATGCTTCGAGTTCTCTGTGCAACTTTTTTTTTTCTATCAATGTATTTGCAGCTTTTTCGAAGCCACAAAAAATGGGTACAATATTTTGTTACATTTTTAATATTGAGTGTGTGCCTTCGATGACCCACGACTTTGATTATATTTGGTGTGTGTGTCTAAACCATAAGAGGCACGTGACCACAGAGAAGAGAGTGAGTGCGACTCAAACCGGCCAGTTCTCAATCGGTGGTTTTCGGGCAGAAAGAAAACGAATTTCGAGCCGCAAATTCTGTTCTGGGTAGTTGGTATTTCACATGTCATGTACAAATAGAAAGAACCCTTGGTGAGCATAAATACCCTGTCAGTGTCCCTTTAATTAGTACAGAAACCTACAGACTTCGTTAACAAACAAAACAAAGTATTGCAGCAGTACCTTAGACATTTTGACAAACGGTAAATCTCAATGCAATCATTTATGTGCCAAAACTCGTGCCGCACCTTCCGACGAAAACGCCTTTGGTTGTAGCCTGGGTCATGCGACAGCTTACACCGGCCAATGGAAGGGAGGCACAACCTGTCGGGGAGCCTCGCCATGGCTGTCGATCTATTGCAACGGCTACCAACGTCCAAAACGTGCCGAGTCACTGAATTATGCTAGATTTAGCGTACTGTGGTCATGTGAGTCGTGTTGCGCGCCACCGACGAGATCCCTCGCACGTTCCTGCAGCTGAGCCGCCAGATGCTGGAGTGGTGCTGCCAGGCGGTGTGCAACTTGGTGCTGCGCAGGGAACATATCTGCCAGGAGCACCGGCGCCTGCTGGACAAGAAGCAGCGTGTGGACCTCATCCTTGCCTCCATGGAGCACAACAAGGCCTCCCCCGAGCAAGTCCACGAGGTGGGGTGGCGCTTTTCCGCTTCTTCCTCAGTCCTTTAATGGGCACCGAGTTGGATCATGAGAGCGTAGGAATGACTGTGAATCTAATTGTTGGATTGCAAACTTCTCATTCATGCAAACCCTGCTACACTAGAACTAAAGCAGCTTCATCTTTTTTTAGCAAATGAGAAAAGCTGTATTTGGTTTTTCTTCCGCGTTTTGATTTGCTCGCAATACGACAATTCTTTTCTTGTTTTCATTTAGAAGGGAACTTCAACGCTCTGGTTTGCTCAGAAGTCCACTGACGGGCCCTGGCAGTGCACTGACCATGGCCCCTCCCTGTGCAGGTGAAGGAGATGATCACACCCCCCGAGCGGAAGCAGCTGGCCTACGTCAAGCACGTGAGCTCCAAGATGGAGCTAAGCGAAGTGCAGCTCGACGAAACCATGCTCCTGCTGCAGCTCTACGTCAGCTCGCTCCTAAAATGAAGTCAGGGATGGCCTGGTGTCGGCTTCCGACTCCGTGTCGTCGTTTGCCGGGAAAAGCTCAGAAAAAATGCTCCACTAGGTTCCTCATCCACTCACGCCCGCATCGGCCAATCATAGTCGGCATCAAATATTTTGCGCTACGTTGTTAAGGCTAGCATGGCTTCCACGGTGCTCCAGTGCTGTCAAAGGTATACTTGCCCGAATGCCTGGCTTCGTTGGGCGTTTCCTGCACTTGTGAATACCCTACGTGCAAACGAGAGGCGAGATGAAGACACGTGCTCTCTCGCAGTACGGGGCTGCGGCACAGTGAAAGCTATGCTATCATTGACAACGTGGCACGAAATAGTTGACACCGAATACACAGACCATATTATGACTGTTGTGTTATTTTAAATGCGAAGAGAGAGCTTTCTTTATTCGCTTGTTTTCTAAGTTGTCCAAGCAGCAACTACCATTATCGGTGCGAAAACTGGGATAACCCGTCTTCGTACGCAATTCACCCGAATTGCCAAGTGGCCAAGTGCATTGGCGCACCGCAGCACGTAGAATGAAAGCTCGTGCCAAGTTCAATTCCCGCCCCTGCCCGTTTCGATCTGGTTGAGCAACGTACCGGCGTGCGGTCGTGCATCACTGCTGCAGGATGCGCGTCAATGGCCCCAGGCTAGCGGCAGTACAGACACCAGGTGCCTCTTGGGCAGACTGACCTCCTGCTGTCTTAAACTTCCATACAGCAAACTAGTTACAGTCGGCGACAGGTTAGAAACACAGTACATACTCCACCTCGGGCACGAGCTCAGCCGGACGTTGGCCGCATGAGCTTGGGCACCTTCGACGAAACTTTGTCGCATGTGCGGCTGAAGGCGGAGCTCCTGCTAGGGTCTTAACCTGTCACCTACTATAAAAGACAACGCGATTTTCAAGAATAAAAGCAGATGGGTTACCTGTTCAAATGTCGTAGTCACGCTCATTGTTTCGTCAATTGTGGCACGGTTCTTCTGCATCCTTAATGCGCTTTTCCGTCGGATGCCACAGTGGCGCGCCAGGGTTGCTAAGGGCACCGATTGCCAGTGAAACATTGAAAGAAATGAAGCAGTTTTGGAATTAAAATATTTCACGATTTCTAAGCAGCGATTATGTCGTAATATTCTTGATGTTCTGTGCCAGCAGCGATGGCCAGTTTTAAGTGTAGCAGAGATCCTTTGAATAGAGGATGTTGGCTGTCATGTCTACCTGTCTCTGGGCCTGAATTTTTTTTTTTTCTTCTGTTCAAGCGGTAAATGTTTAGTCACTGATGGGACGGGAACGACGGGTCATCTCTCTCGGGCCTCCAACGTGCATTCGCGTCTTTTGCCGTGCTTTGGCTTTTCATGCGCACTCAAAGTTCACGAGATGCCAAAGTGTCATCGAAGGTAGGAAGCTTGCGCTGGAGGCGGGACAACCGAGACTCGTCCCTGCCGTTCTCTTCCTGCCAGTGACCATAACACGTGAGAACTAAGGCCATGGTGCAGGGAAGAAAAACACCAACAGAATACTTGTCCTTTTTCATGGAACATAGTCACTGGATCACCCTAATACTTGCACCACCTTGCCTGCATTCTTAACATTTCTTCCTGTTAAAACATGCATATTTCAATCCAAGAGATGGCAGCCAAGGTGCTTCTGCAAACTCCTCTTGTCACATAACACCGGCCCTTCCCCTCTTTGAACCTCACTGGTTCCCTCCATCGGGAAAACTCACCCAATTCATCGCAGAGAAGTTCCCTGCTGGAGACCTCAAAGAAGTCGCTTTTCCGAGTCGAGGCCGTGTTGTTGAAACCGCGGCCACAATTGGACCTCCACACACGGTGCAAAGCTGGCACCTGCTACACGAGGCACTCCGACCGGCACGAGACTGATTCTTTATTTAGTCCGTAATAAAATAATTGTCTCTCAAAGACGGACACACCAAATGTTTCCCTCCGGGGAGGGGGACCAGAAAGGCACGACGTCTTCCCTCAGGACGCGGCGTGGTACTTGACGAAGGCCACGGCGGCCAGTTCCTTGCAGAACTCCTCGATGACAATAAGGGCCTCCAGGACCGATGACTCTTCGCCGAGTGCCGCGTCGTCGCCGCCATCGCCCAGCAGCGCGCTCCGCGTGAGCACCAGCTTCCGCCGCAGACTGTCGGTGCCTCTCACGGCCACCTGGATCTCCTCCACGACCTTGAGCAGCGAAGTGAACAGCGAGCGTGCCCCAGGCGCCAGCGGAAGCAGCGGGTTCAGCAGGTACTCATGGAGGTTGGGGTGCGCGAAAAGCGCCAGTCGCGACACCAGTGAGGTGACCAGGAGGTTGACGTCGTACGGCTGTCGGTGCATCTTCTCGATGGTGTCCAGAACGAATGCCAGGAAGGGCCCTTCCTGGAAGCCCCTGTGGTCGGCCTCGGGCTGCGAGTCCGAACTCTGGTCGTCTTCGGCGCTCGTGTGCTCTTCGCACAGTGGCTCGCTGGGCCAGTCCCAGGCTTCGCTGACTGCCAGTGCCTCCTGGTACTGGCGGTGGGCGTCCGCGATGTAGGCGTCGTAGCCAGTGTCCTCGCAGGACTTGATCTCGTCGGGGAGGAGCAGGAGGAAGCAGTTGAGGATGCGGTGGATGCGGGCTGGTGCGAAGGTGCGGCTCACGGGGGACGAGCCCGGGGACACGTCGAAGTCGTTCGGGTCGCCGCCGCCACCGTCGTCGTCGCTCGACTCTGGCACCTCGCCGGCAGCGCCGTGGTAGCCGCGCCCCACCAGGTGTCCCAGCACAAGGCTGTCCAGGATGTCCCTGGACGGTCGCTGGAGCAGCTCTTCGAACACCTGGGTGAATGACAACGAACTGTGCGGTCAAACCCAGGAAACTCCTTGTACAGGAAGCTAGCCAGCCCATTGGGGCCGACTAACTTGTGGCTGTATAAACATACAATGCAACAATTATTGTACTGGGACGCCTGGTAGCTGTGTCCCACGAGGTATCCCAGCACTCGACCGTCCAGGACGTTCCTGGACAGTCGAGCGCATTCATAAAGCTGGAGCAGCTCTTCAAACTCCTGGAGGGGGAAAAAACCCACGAACACGCATACTAAATGCGCAACTCACGAGACATTCGCCGCACTTGATTGGTTTAGCCAATGAAAGAACACGTACAGGGTGATGACGAATGCCATGAGATCGCATTTTAATGCTGTCCGATTGGCCCCACTCGCTCGTAGCGTCGGCTGTAGCATCGATTTAACGGGAAGACAAAGTGTAGAGATTGCTCGTCATCTGCTCTGGTCGGCTTATGCACTGGCCAATTGATCGTCAACATCGTCTAAGTTTCCAGACAATGTCAAAAACTAAAATTAACTTGGCAAAATATTAGGATGGCAGCTACTGTGATAAAAGAAAACCAGGGTCTTGTACTCCCGATGGGATCACGGGATTATTGTGTCTGCCACGAGTCTTCGTGCCGTGACCACAGAGTACTGTGGCACTTGTGCCGCTCCCGTCAACCTTCACCACCTCATGAGCATGCGTGCGTCGAGCTTGACCATTCTGCACCGGAGCGCTAGGAGCAGCAGCTGACCAGGGGGAGCGCCTGGGCTAGCGCAAAAGGTACTATACTCAGGATTATTACAGGTCAACCTTCTTTGTCTTAATTGTAAATTGACCTCTAATTTAAAAAAAAAACTAGGCTAAGAAAGAGAGAGGAAAAAAAAAACCACTATACTACATTTGAATAAATATGGTAGTAACGGTGCGGCTGTCGATCGAAACAGCAGCGAATTTGAACCTAACCCTGCTTCCAATACAACTAAAGAGCAGTGTCACTTTTAAAACACAAGTGTAGGCTTTCATAATATTTGTGGGTAATTGTTTTTGCAGTTTATGATATTAGAGTCGAGTTTGGTAGATTCGTAGAACTTGGGGGAAGTGTTTCTATTGAAAGACATGTCAGCGGATATGCTGATTCTTGCTGGAATTTTACAGAAATTATATTTCTAGGCTAAATAACTACTGAATGTAAAATGGGGAAGGGAAAGTGGCTTTATCCCCAACTGAAATGTTGCGCTATAATTCATTTTTCAACCATTTTTAATACCCATTGTAAATAGGACCTACTCTGACCAGAGCCTTATTTCTAAGGAAAAGGCTATAGGTTTCTTTTGCACTCTATCATGTTACAAAAGGTATCAATTAAAAAGAAAAATTGCGAGGACACCTAAGCACTTCATACGAATTGTGAATGCGAAGGCATGAATGTCGTTCTTCCGCACCCTTAGTTCGTCTGCGGCGTACTGGCGTGAACGGCCATGTTTCACTACTGCCGAGGTTGCGGCTGAGCGCGCACTCTCGTGAAGTGGCCGCCAATGGCCATCTAGGGGCCATTTTGCTAAGCCAATGGGAGAATGGGCATTTCTTTCGTCTTTTTTTGGAATTACAGATGCCGCCGGCTGCGCTCCATGGGATAGCTAATGCTTTCGCATTAATACGCTCCAGTATCAAAGAGGAACCTCAATCAATTACATAGATGAACTGATTTAGAGATGCAATCACTTTTTCATTTTCAAGTGATGTGTTAAGAGGTGTTGGCATTTGCTCCAAAAGTAGCAGCGGCTGCTCTAAACCAATACTTTTTTGCCTGCTACAGAACCTGCTACAAAAGTTCAAATGCCGCTTCCATCACTGCTCCTGACATCGTCGACATTGTCTGGACATTCGTACAATGACAGGGCCAGTGCAGTTGAAGAGCATTCTCTACACTTTGTTTCATCGTCTCAAGTCAAAGCGCAGGCGACGGTATGAGTCAACAAGGTCGATCAAGCAGCGTCGAAAGTGTGACATCATGGCATTCGTCATCTACCTGTATGTGTTCTTTCATTAGCTAAACTAATCAAGCGCTGAAAATGCACCTAGACTTGCACTTTTAGCTCGCGTGTTTCTGACTATTCATGTGTTTGAATCTTTAACTGTGCTCTGACCTACGATAAAACAAACTATACCGTGGATAAAAGACGCCGTGAAATGCATATTTGTACTGCTTTCATTTTCTTATACTTCTCCAAACTTTAAAATTGACAAACAATAAAATATTTCTAATTTTTGCAGGAACGTCCACCTCTGCACGGGTGTGGCACAATCCTTAGCAAAAATTTCGCTTTGGCACAAGACGTAACAGACTTTCGTTGATGCTGCAAATGGTGCAACACTTCCATCACTGCTGAGAATTTCTTTTGCATACTAGCTTTGAGGGTAATGAGCTCAAAAGTGACATAAGGCTCCTAGCTTCCAGCTTACTTGCCATAGAGGAAGTGCACCAGCTCACCTAGAAAGTCGACAGTCTTTCCCCCTTCAGTTTTTGGGTCAGCAAGGTCTAGAAAATGGGAATGCATCCGCCCTAGGGGCTCTTGGACTAAACTGGATTGTGTCAGCTTAACCCTTTCTGTCAAGCGATCCCACTGCAAAACATTCACATAACTTGCTGATCTAACTGTCTACTTCCATGTGGACGGGCATTCTACAACCAACCAATGACCTGTAGCATTACTGCAATTCACACGTTTCTGTCTCACTATATCAATATCAATGTAATATGAACAGAAAAATAATAAGACATTCTATGACTATTTGCCATTTAGAAGTTAATATACCATATCAAGCTTGTTCGGCACATTACCCTCTGCGAGCGTGATTGAAGTAGATATATAACAGATGCGTGCCGACTGCACCGTTGGCAACAAACCGAGCCACGGGTGCGGTAGTGCATCGAGTTTGCAGCGATGCGATTGCTGCGCCATTAGCGCCAAACGGCTTACCCTGCCACGTCCTCCCATTTAGCCCAAATGTGAGGAATTTGCCCCAGCATTGTGCCAAAGCTCGATTTCACTTTAATAATTACTGAAAATATGATGGTTGAGGCACTGCTACAGCCCAGGGTTGTTATGGTAGGCTTGTGCGAATTTTCAGAACTATCGATTCTAGCCCCAAAGAACATATATACTTTCCTATTTGCCCTCTTTATCAGCATCAAACACTCGGAGCACTCGGAATTTTCGCAATATCTCTTAAGTTCCTAATCTGCTCAGGCATGCAAGTTAGCTTTGTTGAGTTCGCTTCTCACCACGCTCTTGTGTACTGTAGTGAAGCGGTAACCGCAATGCAAGCATCGCAATTTTGCTTATTTTGCTTCGCCACAGGGCATCCGAGAGCTAAAGGGAAAGCACTCCCCCGAGAGCAGGACATCATATCCGCAAGCGTCGGGTATATTAAAAAAAAAAAAACTTTGTCTTAGTTGTAGTAAAAAATTCTTGAATTATACTGTAGCTATTATTTATGACAGACTGCGGTATTCTACAATATATTTTTCAAATTTGTAATTTAAAATTTTTTGTATGAACTGCTCTATAGGTTTATTTTTATTTAAACTCCGTTCTGTGGTTATTACCTTTATACATGTTTTATTTGTTTGAAGTACCCTCAATGGAATAAATTAAGACTAAATTAGGTGAAGCTGTAGAAGGAAGCTTGGGAATAATAACCTGAACAAATTTGGCTGGATTGTTTTAGGAAGGCATACTCATACTTATCGCTCACATGCCAATCTCTGTTATTATGAGGTTCTACATACAAAATATTGTTAATTTTTACAATTTAATAACAAAGGAATATCTGAATTAAGAAATTCTGTTTTATTACAACAATTAGAAGAGACATTGATTTGTGTGCTCAAGATTATTTTAACGTTATTTTAGTGGAATATACTATTTGGTTTACATTTCATTTTGTACCTAAAGTGACCATCCACAGCAGCCCAGAATGTCCTTCATCGATCAGCATTTTGTTGCCATGCGTAGTGAATCCATGTGCTACTAAACAGCTAGTTCTGCATTTAAGGAAGTCAAACCTGCCATTGCACAAGAGTGTAAAGGCAAAGCATGAACATTTGTTAGTTGGATTGGCCAACATAAAAATCATTCACAGTGGTACAAATAAAAATAAAGTGTGTGCTTCTGTACTTTTTGCTGCTCCATAATTGACTTGGCTGCTCCAAAAGGTGCTACAATATGACTCGATTCAATCGCATCACAGAGTTTGCTCGGGAATGTTTCTAAAATTTGACCTGGTCAAAAAGATTGGCCCTTGACAGATACCTGCAGGGTTGCCAGCAACAGCTGCGGCGAAGCCTCCGGGTCGCGACCGCGCTCAATGAGCGCGTCTTTGAGGGACGGCCTCTCCGCGTCACCCAGCAGGAAGGCGCCGAAGGCTGCAACCAGGGGCGCCGAGGTGACGTTGCGCAGGCACGTCGTGACTAGAGTGATTTCGAAGAGGAAGGCCTCCTCCGTCTGCACGTCTGCAAAGTCCCTCCGGAGCACCCCGCAGAGGAAGTCCTCCGCAAAGGTCTGCCCCAGACGGGCCCCGATGATGGCATGGGACAGCTCCACCAGCGTGTCGACGAACCCGAGCCACTTGAAGAAGCAGAGCAGACGACGCTTCCCCGATGCCAAGACCGGCTGCGCCTCCGCATCCCCCGTGGCGTCCGAGCTCCAGAAGGCCACGGCTTCGTCGATGTCCGCGGCGTGGAGGCTACGCGGGACGGCCGTGTAAAGGCGCACTAGGTGGCGCACGACGCACGTGCACACGTCCGAGCGGCCGACGACGTAGCGCGCCACGTCGTCGGCCACGTTGGCCATGCACAGGATGAGGCACTCCGCGGCCAGGGTGGACACGTCCGAGTCGGCGCTCTCCATGAGCGTCAGCAGGGCCTTCAGCAGGGAGGAGGGGCCCTCGGCCCCCCCCTGGGGGTCTCCGGGGGACGAGAGGAAGCAGTTGAGCAGGCCGGGGTCCGTGCGGATCTTCTGGCACACCACGTTGAGGAAGTGCACCTGCGGTAGATTGGGGCCGGGAGCGTTCGACGGCACTTTGGGGGCTTTCGGCAGCCTCCAATTTTTGACAGGGGTCGGCTTTTTTTTTTTTTTTTTCTTGCTTCGCATGCTTATTGTTAGTTTGAAATAAAAGAAAGAAAAAGTTCCCTCAATTTAACAACCTCAGAAATAGCTCCGCCTTTAATCCCTCTCACAAACTCAACAAATATGCTAACTCACCGAGCTAACGCCCCTCACCCAACCTCAAACTCGAGACTCAAGAACTGGCTCACCCTCACATCACATCTGAGAGTGTGTGAGACAAGGGGGTGCACTTGTGAGCGAGTTTTGCTGAGGTATGGTTCTCGGTGTCCTTGTCGGACCATTCTGTTGTTTTTCGTAACATAGGGCTTTTCCGAGTCCCTTGGAAACGAGCAATGCGCTAAAAGTATATGAATTCTACACTTTTATGAAACAAAAAAGCACACTGTCTAAAACGTATGTTGGAAGTATATTTCGCCCCTAAGTTGTACACCCCTAAGTTGTACACACTCGAAGCACATTTTTCAGTGCACTTTCGTTTTAGTGCCACAACCAACTTGGTGCCGCTTCTCAAGCGGCAGTATCTGACGGAAGCGGCATGCTTACGTTACATGTTGATGAAAAAATCCGACCACACTTTATATTATGTGGTTTGAGTTTCCCAGCTCGCAATTCGTGCACGAGCAACTTAGGACTTTCTGACATACCCACTGTTCCGTTGTGTGTGTGTCTCACCCCTAAGTTGTACACGCTCGAAGTACATTTTTATATGCTATTAATAGTGAGTTTAAAGTACACTTTCTGAAGTATCGCAAAATTTGTATACTTTTCACCAAGGCCTGCCTGTTCTCTAGATCTTCTCGGTCGTTCGTCACTGCACTCAATGAGAAAGAGAAAAGCTGCACAAAATCTCGTTGTTTTGTCAAATCCAAAAATATTGTTTTAAATAATGGTACAGTCACAGGCTGATAACGTTGCATATTTGACGGAATATATTGCTGTACGTAAAATTTTGCAGGAATCACATTTCACAGTTGACTGATCACCGGGACTCGCGTAGGTAATACAGTCTCAGCATCAACTTCTTACAAACAGTTTTTTTCTCTGTGAAACAGATTGCTATGAACTATGCCGTTTACGGCTTGCAGGCGAGTAGTTTGCATAGGCAAAAGTGGAAAAAGTTTTGACAAATTCATGTGAATTCAAGCTTAGGAAGAATGCAAGAAGAAAAGTATGAAAGGACGCTCCACTTTTGTACTCACTATTTTTGCACTATCTGCTTTTCAGGTACAAGCTCATGTGTACACTCTCCTGAGAAAGCCTGCCTGCAGGGCATCAGACGTAAGATCTGAGAACCTGCAGAACTGCAAAAAATGTGCAAATTGCCCAATAGTTTGCATCGTCGGACACAATTCAAGATGGCATCTTATCCCCCTTCTTTAGCACCCTATGATCTATAAAATAGTTGTTTGTATTGCGACAGCACCGATCCTGTATTAAACGTCGAGGAGGGCCCTGATACGGGCTGGGGGGTTCCATCGATTTAAGCTTTGTGCCAAGTGACAACACATACTGCAGCCGCATACCTTGGCAATACAGTGGAGAACTCACACCCAACCTTGCTCCATTACATTGCAAGATAACTTCATGCCCCTCTTTCAATTGCAGTTTCCTTCAGCATAACCACAGTCAGGGTTAAAAAGAATGGTGATAGACAATCTTTTTTTTTCTTTTATTCATTCTGTTTAAATGTATGTTTCTAAGTATGAGCAGCCATAAACCCTTTTTAATATATAATCGCCAAGTGTGCTCGCCTACCTCTGAAGATTTGTGCCGGCAGATTGGTTTGTCTGCTCTGCCCGCCTGGCAAGGTGGCAGGGTGCTTATGTGGCAGACTGTCACTGAATGCAGCTCTCCGCGCACGGAAAACCTAGCCACCAAACATCCGTAGTGCCAAGATTTATGTGGACGCTTTCCAAGAAGCAACCAAAGGCCAACCCACAGTTGGAGAGCGGGTTGTGTATCGAGAAAGGGGCTTGTTTGCTCTTCTATTGTTGAACACGGACGGAAAGGAAACAATTTGAAGCACAGCCAGAGATCTCTCACAGGAAGTCCGTGCTCAATTTTCCGAGGAAGAAAATCCGCTCAATTCCCCCCTCTCTCAGGCTGAGAGGGTTACGAAGGAAGGGATTGAGCCAACACGCCTTAGATAGAAAAACTGTAGTACTGGATTTCCTATATCCCCTAGGCGAGGCCAGTGTGGGATATACATTGGACACGAGTGCTGAGTCGGCGTTCGGCTGGGAGTCATGTCCTCGTCGACCAAGCACAAATCACAGTCGGACGGTGACACAGCACTTGCGTTCCATCCATTGTCACACGCGGTCCCCCAGAAGGTAACATACAAATTCTAGTGCCTTGCTATCTCGGAGGCGTCATCAAACCCCTGAGGGGAGGTTGCCTAAAGGAGAGAGAGGGCGCGGGATAGGATAAGAGAGCGCAAGTGGAAAGCCTTTCAAGGAGCTTTGATAAGACCTCGCGAATGAACGGCACTAATCAAACCGAAAGCGCGCGTAGATGATTGTGACCGATATCACATCATCCATTTTGCACCACAACTGAAGAGAGAGTGGGGAAAGCTGCTTTTGTACAAATTTTGAGTGACGGGTTAATCTTCTATACTCTTCTAGAGGGAGAATAGCGACTTCTAGGCAAGACTGGAACACACGAAGGAGAGTTCCGGTGAGAGGAGAGTTCCTTCTTCCCCTCTTCTCTTGTGGTTGCCCGAGAGCTGACGGGACGACGTCAGGTGCAAGGCATGTATTGGCTGATTGAGAAAAATAGTGGGTAGACCTCAAGGCATGTAGCATTGAGGTCTACCCGCTACCCTTTCAATCAAAGCCAATCGGAGCTCGGCATTGTTCTGACGTCACCACACCTCCTGCGCAAGAAGCAGATGACTTGCACTCCGCATAGTCTGCTGCAGGTAGGGAAGCACCCCCCACAAAGCTCTCTACTCATCATGATTGGTAGTTTCCCCCTCTCCAACGTATGCTCTGCTAAAAACAAAATACACGGGATTGGAGGAGCTTGTCTCGCTTTTCTTAACCTGCAGCAAACTATTGGTTCGTTTGATCCGCGTGTGCGACGACGCCGAAAGTATTTGTGTCATGTGTTCCGTGCAGGCTATACAACGAGGTAGTGTCCCTCGAGCATGCACCTGCAAAGGAGGCGAGGTGTGGCCAAATCGAATATGTCCTGCGCTCACTGAAGCAGACGCAGCTAACACCTAATCGACAGCTGAACGTCCAGCACGTTGGCAGCTCGTCTCGATTAGAAGCACGGTCAATCAAGAGTCACTCGACCTCACGTGGCGCTAAAATAGCGGACGGCACGCACCTCGTCTCGCTCGGTAGGAGCCGCCAGCACTTCTCCGCACAGGCCGACCAGCTTGTGCACGGCCGTCGAGACAGCCATCTGCGGCAGCAGCGCCTGGCCGCTGCTCGCGAGCAGACGGCTCACGAACTGCAGCACGCAGCGCTTGATGCCCGGCGGAGCGTCGGCCCGGGCCAGCGCACTCATCTGGTCGAGCATCCGACGCTGCAGCAACTGCTCAAGGCACGGTCCCAGGGAGTCCGATCCCAGCTCGGCCTCCTCCTGCTCGAGCAGCTTGGACATCTCCTCCAGTCGGCCGGGCAGGCCCGTTAGCTCGATGGGCTTCTGGCTGGACGAGTGACGGTCCGTGTAGAAACGCATCACGCACTGCCAGTGCCACACAAACTCCTCGCTGAGCGGCAGCGGAGGCGCCAGGGCGTCCACGGCGTTGGACAACGCCGTCGCCAGCCGAGACAGCATCGCTCGGCGGCGCTCAGCGAGCGGAGGGTCCTCTCAGACGCATGGCTCGAGCCCGGGGTCGCCCCTTCTACGCCGTCCGCGCGGCACCCGTACGAGCGCGCACGTAGACGAGAGACGCGGCAGGTGCCGAAATCGTCGACGCTGGACAGTTCGAAACCACCATGTTTACCGGATGTGGCCGCCCGGGCTGCGGGATCGCGTTTCCGCAACACAATTTTATAACCCAAGAAATTCCTACTGAAACATTTTATGAAGACACAAAATAATATATGTATGTTTATCAAATAATGGACGCTTTGCGTAAAATTAGTTTTGAGGGGCGCATACTTGGACATTCGCCGCGGGGCTGCCCTGGCACCTCATTAATGGCTTTCGCCTTCCCATATTGCTTGTTGTGTGTCGCCGTCGTCGTCGATTTTGTGTGAGGTGCACGACTTCCCCGCATAGGATTTCTCGTCTTGATCCGTCGACGGGGACACGGCACGGTGAGTACCGCCTCTTTATCGAGATAGCGACGGGCGTGGAGCGCCAGAGCTAGCCTTCCGAATCGGACGTTTGTTTGGGAGGGAGGGGGTGAAGCTTCAAGGAGGGCATTCCTGCTAGGCCGAGCCGAGTGCAACCGAGCCACCGAGCGCCGTCGGCGGAAGTCACTCGTTTGCATGGCATAACTCGGCCCGACACGGCCGCCGAATCGTCCGGACCGTGTCCGAGGGTCCCCCGGGACCTCGACGGGCCTCCGGGTCAGTCGGGGTGTTCGGCGAGCCCGAGCCCGCTCGAGGCGCCTCGCCGAAGAGGGGCGGGGATAGCCGTCCGCCGGTTGTCCCACTGCTTTTGCCGCATTCTTCGCCACGGGCACTTTTTTCCGCCTTTCGAACGCGGCTCATTAGGGGGAAGCGAGCAGTGACGTTCGGTGCGGCGGCCGCTTTGCTGCGTTCAGAAGGGGAGGCTCGGTCAAGCGGAAACCTCTATCTCGCGACCGCTTTCTACGGCGTTCTTCGGTGCGCCCCTATTTTTTCTTCCAAACGCCAGCAGCAGCGGCGCTGGGAGGAGTGAATTCCGTCGTTGGAGGGTTCAAGGTCGAGACGATTTGAACACTCCCCAACAAATGGTTGATTACCTGCTCGACCCGGAACCGCCCATGATCTCGCTTTCGCACCTTCGGTTGGGCGTTCGTCGTCGCCGAGCCAGCCACTTTGTTGACGACGGCGACAACGACGACGCCTTGGGCACGCCGCTCTTGTTTTTGTTTTCTCCCAGTCGGAAACCTTTTATTTTTTTCTTCCTTATCTCGGTAGATGATTTCCGTACGGCCCGTCGTTGCTCGCTCTGCTGGGGACATGGCGTCTTGATCTTTTTAACACCGCGGTCCCCGCTGACGGCGTCGGCGACGTCGGAGCCTTTTTTTCTGGCGATGAGGACGACCTCGTTCAATCTCTGTTGCGTGCGTGGTAGCGGATTGTCGCGGATAAAACGATCAGCTCGGAGGGGGAAAGTTCGACCCGAATGGATCTATTTGCCGCTAGAGTTCCTCTTCAGAAAAGACAAAAATAAACTGGGCGCGAAAAGCCGCGAGGTTGCATCAGTCGATGTGCAAAAGCTGCTTTAATTCGAATAGCACAGCGTCATCCTTAGCTTCAACGCTGCAAACAGTGCCTTTTTGTTGAGTTTGTCTAGCATGTGAAAGCTGTGAATCACGCAGCGCTATTCGATTCGAATCACCATTCGCACACACGTTGTTTCGTGCCATTCGGTGCAGTTGCAAAGGAAGGATGCCACACCGAAAATACGTCATGAGGAGAGTTCGTCCCAGCAGTAGCAGAGCTATCTAATACCGAGGTACAGGTGACTTCGGAATGGTTATAGTACACCCGGTTTCAACGTAACTTGGTCGGAGAGTACAGTACAGGTAGAAAGGCCTTGTGTACCCGCGAGCAATGCAATCGACGGATGGGAATGGAATTTCCTCGAAGTGTGCGGATTGTATGTCGATATGTTGAGCCCCATACGCCGGTTGGATATGATATCAAATATTTGCAGATTAGATGTCTATGGGAAGCTATTCGTAAATCAACAGGGTTTTTTTTTTTTTTTTTTTTTTTTTTCTTTTGGGGGGGGGGGGGGGGGGGGATATATTTTATAACTTACCGCCTCCCCCCTCGGAGCCCCTGGAAATGAGCTGAGCGAGTGGCGGCGGAGCGACTGCTCGTGGCACGTATGTTGCGCGTTTCCACAAAAATGGTTGGCGGTACTTGTAAGCGTAAATTTTATCCATAAAGTTTACCCCTTTGCCTGGCTACGTCACTGTCGTGAGATCAAGCCGAAAATGTTTTATGACGTATTGACGAGGTCTTCCAGTTAGTACGCCTTTGCAAGATATTTATGCTTGCCGAAATACTACCAAAGGACTCAACTGTCGCACAACTAATTTGCGGCACGATGATTGCTCATCAGTGCTGCCATCTCTTGACAAATTAGAGTGGTGCGGGTATAGTTACCGGGATAAAGGTAAGCAACGTGTTGGTTGGTCCTTTATCCCCATCTCGTTCCCTCTTCGCGTGCGATGACCTCACAGTACATGGAGTATTTAAGAAGTAGTATATTGTCCGATGCACGTCTTAATAGATGATAAATTTCATGACCACCAAACACCGAAAATGTAGTGACCGAGAGCAAGCGAATAGGAAGCGAAGCAAATCTCGTGACTTCCCGAATCTTTTATGTCACGTTCGTCCGAGCTAGTCCAGTGGTTCCGGTTTCACTGCGTATGTTCTTAAACAGCCCCTAAAAAGAAGAAAAAAAAATTGTCAGTTTGGTTGGGACGCGCGTGTCAAAATATTAATTTTACGCGAAAAAAAAAAAAGTTTTTTGTTTTAGCAATGTTGACGGCGGCGAGACGCGATTTAGTCCGTAGTCACCTCCTTTCCACTTGCTTTCCCGGCATTTCGGGCTTGTTCAACAGGCTTGTTTCGGGTGCGTGGAGGAGAGGTGGAAAGAGCGAATGACCGAAATGGTCATTCATGGACTTAGCGCGCAAAATTTTAAATAAATCTCGCCTTCAAAATTGCTCTACTTTTTTTTTTTTTTTTTTTTTTGCGTAAAATTAATTTTTTTGACACGGGTGTCCCAACTATTGTTTCAAAAGAAAAATCTTTTGGGTTTTTTTGAACACCTAATATGCGACTTTGCACCAAAGGGAATGAAAAGCATTGAGCGATGTACGGACGTTATGGTGTTCGATTTTCGCGCTTCGATCTAAATGCGGTATTTTGGGGGAGGGAGACCTAACTTTTAGCGCATTGTAGCTGACGCCACTTATCGGGGAGGTTCAATATTTATTGGTTGCATTGATGCGCGTTAACAAACTTAATCGCTATTCAAATACTAACACAAGGACAGACAAAACGACACAACCTGTCATTTTGTCCTTTTAATGATATCTGATAGCAACCGACGTGGCTCATCCTCTACTTAACTAAATCGCTCGAAGTTATTCATTTGCCTTTATAATGCGTAAAATATAACACGAACCACCTTTGATTTGTTCGTCAAAAATTCGAAGGTTCGAGTGTTCGACACAAATATGTGACGTCTCTATAGCTTTGATCGGTCCATCTGTGCGGTAGGCGTCAGCACAGCACGGAACTCGGTGCCCTGGACACCGTCGGAACGGGCACAGCTTGTGATCTCCGATCTTCTGCGACCTTCCAGTGGCCTTATTGCCCCTAGGCGACCGTCTTTTCGCCGAGCCTTTCGATCTGATACGGAATTTGGCTCGTATGATACTCCGGGCAGCATAATGTGTCTGTCCCTGCGCTTGGAATTAATGTTTTCCTCTAGTATTGCTGTGAAAAGTTGCGCAAGCCCGTGTGCACAAAAATGCCGCTCGAGCCTAGAATGCCGGCTTGCGAGTCGAACGTGAATTACAAGCACAGCCAGGGGTCATTTGTGGACGCTGCGGTCATATGCGGATAAAGACGGTGCTGTAGCGCAGCATGGCGGCGGCTGATGGATAATGCGTGAAAATTGAAGATGGATGGGCGGATGGATGGTTAACGCTGTGCCTTTTACAAATAGATTTATAAACCATTTTTTATTTTTCATTTTGATAATTATAGTTATCAACAGTTACTGGGGATATCGCCAATAACCTTTGGGGAATCTGGCTGAAAAAAAAAATGAAACAACATAAAATAACAATGTGAATTACACAAAACCGCGGATTTCTAGGCGGTGTGCGTATTTTACTTTATCGACCGACGTTGCTCTTGTTGGGTAAAATATCGTATTATTGATCATATTTCCCCGTTTCTTTTTTTCTTTCCACATTGTCTTGCACTGTGACGTTGAGTGTAGCGCTGCGTGGCCTTGTATACGTTTCAAAGGCGCACCCATTCTGCCAGCGGGCGTGCGAGCGCACGGTTCAATGGGCAGTGTAATGACGTTTACACCGGCTGTCTCTCGGAAACGCGGGCCAGAATTGTCTGGCGAAAATTGCCATTCTAAACAAAGTTAAAAACAAATGTGTGTCGTATTTTACTCGCAAATTACTTTCCGTGGCATTGGGGAGTGTCGCTCTGCGTGTGCACAGCTTGGGTCGACAATAACCAAGGTGCACGGATCTGATCGGCGCCGATAGCTTGAAATCGTTCGTTTATTTTCAGTGTTTAGAAACAGCTTGGCGCTTCTCTAGTAGTGCAATTGTCGAACAAACATTGCGAACGGAAGAAAGTGAGAGAAATTAAAATGGGAACAAACATTTTTCTTCAGGCTAAACACCAGTATGTCAGGGTTGCGGAATGGGCAGCCCCATTCAGTTCCAACTGCATTCCGGTTGATTAAAGTTCCCGATAATTCCGTTTCTCTTAATTCCTAAGCGTGAAAAATGGCTCTTGACAGCTACATTGTGTTGCCGGCAGACGCAGCATAAAGCTGCCGCTATCATACACGTAGGCAGCTGCAAAAACATTCTGCATAATTCTGTCGCTGTCATAGTTTCGTTGTCTAACTTATGGTTTGTTTATTTTCTTCGCGAGAAAAATGCCTTACGCAAATCCATGACTCATTATAAACCACCTTTTTATATCTATATAAATATTGGTTTTAGTGATTCTCGTATATGAAAGCACTTGTTCGCGTTTCATGGATTCACGAGCGACTATGACAGGCTTTCAGGGG